GCCTTGTTTTATCTTATGTCATTATCCTCAATGCCAGAGTATTTCAATGGCTGAGCAAATCAGAAAACACAAAAATGTTTTGTTTATGGACTTCCTATCGCTAAAACCACTGACGGTGAATTAATCAATTTTAATGACTGAGTTTGTAACTTCACGTGCTTTTTATATCTGTGTGATATATCAGTACTAGCGTATTGACCGTCAAAAATGACGGGGCAAGTACTACCACTCCCACCCCATAGTATACCCTAACCTCACATTTCATTGCTAACTGAAATAAATAAATTTTGCGAAATCAAGCTTGACCAACAAAGAGGCAGAAAAGTGCAGTCGAGGCAGTCAAACATTGATAAATTCCTTTGTGAGCCAGTGCGTTTTGGTAACATTATGTTCCAACAATGGCTTTTATATAATGTTGCTTAACAATAAAAGTATAACCTAATATTGTTGTTATTCTATTTACTGAAAGTATAAATTGAAATGTATAGACAACAAAACTGGAAAAATGTTTGTTGATTTCATTTCTTAGTTTAGTCACCGTTGATTAAAGAAGTTTGGTTTTCTTTTTATTAAAAACAATTGTGATATAAAATATAGCTTAATTCAGAAACGATTTAAGTTTAAAGTTGAATCCTTATTTTTACTTTCATGATAAATTTTCTGCACTTGGCTTTAGGCGAAGTTGATCCCACACTACGTTTTTACTTTAGGCTTAATATACCAACACTTATTATACTAAAAAGGTTTCACGGCACCTCCCCTCCTCACGATCCCATTGCACCAAGTCACTAAAATCGTAAAGGGCAGACAGTAATCGAACTATTCTATCTGGATAAATGCATTTTAGTTTTTATGACTCCTCCTATTTCGAGAAATGAAGCGTGACGTGACGTGACACACAAGTAGTCTTTTTTTTTTTTTTATATAGGTTAGATCTCTAAAGTTTTAGCAAACATGTAAACTGATACAGAGATTTGTTTGGCTAGCTTTCTTCCAATTCCTGGTGACATAGTACGATAGTATCTAATTTTACAAGTTCATTCGAAAATTTTAGTTTCAACAAAAGAAAAGTCAAGCAATATGTTGGATTTTTTATAAGATGTCTATATAATGTACAATTAAAATGGCGGCATTACAAATATATTTGTAGTTGACTAGGGTTGGGAGTGACCTAATGGTTAACGTGCCCAAACTTTGAGGCTGTGGGTACACTGTAAGAGTGATAGTTATATCCCATATTCTGTCAGACGAGATTAGCCAAGAGCTATAGACTATCTGTCATCCCTCTAATCCAGCGTTTCTTAGACTGGGGTCCACGAGTCAAGTCCGAAATTTCATTAAAATATTTTTTAAAAAACTATATATATAGAATAAAAATATTTTTCATAATATTGAATTTATATATTAAAACATTTAATTTTGGAGTACAGCTTTTCATGTAAACTGATTTTTTTTATAAAAAAAAGGGTTTGAGGGCCCGCAAAAAAAATTAAATTAAAAGGGGCTCTCGGTTACTAAAATTTGAGAATTGCTGCTCTAGACTATCAGTTCAGCCTGGCATGGCCTGGTGGTGAGGATGTTTTAACCTCATCACCAAACATGCTCGCAATATCAATCATGGGGTGCAATAATGTGCGGTCGATTCTACTATTCGATTAGAGTAGCCCAAAAGTTGGCGGTGGGTGGGGCTGACTAGCTGTCTCCCCTATAGTTTATCACTTCTAAATTAGGGACTGATAGTGCACATAACCCTCGAGTAGTTTTGCGCGTAATTCAACAAACAAACAAAGTATCAGTTCACAGTTAAGAACGGCTACGCGCAGATAGCCTTTTTGTATCTTTCACGAAACTCAGAAATAAATAAACAAACATGTAAAAGGACTACGATACCGAGCGGAGACTGTTGCGTGAGTATTAGTCAAGCTGTATTCAACTCATTCACAGTTAGGAAAAGGTGTGGAAACACTGATCATCAAAAGAAATGTTATCTTGCCGGACTGTGTATTTGACGTTCTGTACTTAATGCTCAGTTCCCGCCAAAACATTACTGTGGGTGCAAAGCAGGAGTTATTGGAATACCTCAAGTGTATTTTAATTGTTAAACTTTTCTTCGTACTTCGGTTAAAAAAATGTTTTTTCTGAGTCTTTTTCAAATTCCTGACTAGTAAGAACTCCTTCATTATACCATATTCTACGGTGGCTTATTTATACGAAAATATTCGTATGAGTAGGAAATTTAACTTGGAAAGTAGAAAATTGTTATTATATGCTCTTTCTTTCCTGAAATAATAGGATCCTATTAAGTCAACTTTCTATATGTTTATACTTTATAATTCTAAGTATATCTAAAATAATAAAGCCCCATTAGTACTATTATTAACCTGTATATACAACTTTTGGATTTAACTATGACTTTATATAGTTTCGAGTGGCATAAGAAACAGTGAATATAAACTATAAATACATGGCATTATGTTCCTGCAAGTTTTTGTTTTTTTTTCATCAACGAGTTTGTCCTAGCTCTATCTCACAGTCGTCTCTAGTATTTTCATAACCCTGGACGTCTTCAGCAATATATCACGGTTATATTCCTTCGCCGATAATACAATTGGACGAGGTTGATTTCGCAGTTGGCTGTTTGCTATATATGGAAGTTTCGATTCTCCATGTGAAAACTGACCTCACACACACACATTTCACTGCACTTTAATTAACAGGGGAGCTGCTTTCTCTACTGCTTCCTATCATCTAAGTGTAGAGGCACACGTGACGTCACTAATGTGGGACCTTGAGCCATCAAATCGGAGGTTCAGATTTTCGTGTCTAATACATCACTTCCGTTTGGACCTTCATTTTTACGTTTCCAACCGCCAGGTTCACATGAACGATGGTTCAGTGCAATGCAATTATTTCATAATATCGAATTGATAAGCACGTGGTTCGCGGCCAATCTACCTTACTAGTTAGGGTTGTTAATATCTTATCAGGTAGTTGCACTACGGTTCTATCGTTAGTTGCTGAAGAAGTGCGATTGTAAGAGAAAACGTTTTGTTCTACATGGGAGTTTTGTTAGTGATTCGTAATCGTCAAAGAGGTCGACCCCGTGAACTAATAAATACCCAGTAAGGCTATGATAATTTCCAATTGTGGTGATCTATAACTCTATCAGTTAATACAGGAAAGCTTTTTAATAACGTTAACTAAATACTGATAGGAATAATAAGGACAGGTATTTCCTGATAATGATAATTATTGCTATTGCTTTTGACGTTCTGGATAGATACGAAAGTAGAATCAACTTCTATAAATTCTCTACCGAGTTAATTAAAAACTCTTCGTCATCATGCCATACCACGAATGGGAATTGTTACGAATGAACTATGATACCACACTCCACACGAACAGAAAGGATCTTTAACATGATAAGCCGCTACTAGTTTGGAGTGTACAATAACACCAAACGTTTCGTTTAAACATTTCCGATGAAGATGGATTTGGACGATGTATTACCGCACATTGGGAAGTTCGGGCTTTACCAGCAGCTCATGTACTTCATTCTATGTATACCAGCAAGTATTCCAGCCGTCTTTACATTGTTTAACGTGGTCTTCATATCGGCCACTCCAGAGCATTGGTGTCGAGTTCCAGAGACTGACTTTTTGTATCAAATGACGCCCAATGAAAGGAAAAGCTTAAGTATTCCTCTAGAGAAACGGGACGGTCGTGTCCAACACAGCAGGTGCAAAATGTTTGACGTTAACTTCACCCAAGTAGTTTATGATGCTCTTTCTCAAGGTTTGAAACCCGTAGCTGACCCTAACTGGCCGAAGACGACCTGCCACCACGGATGGGTATACGATCGAGAAGTGTTTGAAAACACTCTAGTATCAGAGGTAAGTCCATGTTTGTTACAACTGTTCTTCGGATTTGGGAGTGCTTCCAAATGGGGTACAGGCTAAGAGTTGTTTCGCCTCCCAGTGGCACAGCGGTAAGCTAGAAACCGGGTTTTGATGCTCGTGGTGGGAAGAGTACAGATAGTCTGTTGTGTAGTTTTGTGCTTATTTACAAATAAATAAACAATAATTGTTTTCATCCTTTTAAGACTGTTGCGATATCACACTATCTAAATCCTCAAACTTAAATATCGTGATCATGATCACGTTATACGGAGGTAGAGCACGTTATCTTAAAACGATTTGTGAGCTTCACTACGTCGCTACAGCCCATGTTACTACGTCCAATCACGTCTTGAAAATAACCCTGCAGCGTAATTTCTGTGTTTTTAAACACTTTATTTATTCTCTGCGTATATGTATGCATACGGACGTTTATGTCGTTCCGGAAATTTAAGTTTATTGTATGAATTGTGATTTCGTTGTTGTTAAGCGCAAATCTATACATCAGATTCTCTTTGCTCTGCTCACCACAGGTATCGAAACCCGATTTTTATTTAGCATCGTAATTCTGCAGACTTACCACTGAGCCTTCGGAGAGGGGCGTATAAGTTGTGTGAGTTTCATATGTTCAGCGTATAAACCATGTAACGTGATTAAATTCCGCTAGGAAGATTTCGAGGTTTCTCTTCTGTAGAAGATAACCTCTTATATTGGTAACACTTTATACATTGAGCATGTGCAGTTAATACTTTAGAAATGCTAACAGATTTTAACATATATTATCCAACAATGGTTTGCCTTCGTCAGCTATCAAGTATTACAGCGATTGCCAAACATATTTTTCAGTGCTGCCCCCATTTCAGGTACCCCGAATTTGCGTGACCTCATCTTTTCGAAAATGTAGCTCTAAATACCCTTTCAACTTGTTATTTGCTATGTATGTGCCCCCGGTGGAACAGTGGTAAGTTTATGGACTTATAATGCTAACATCCGGGATTCGATAGTCCACGCAAAAAAAAGAAAAAAGAAATTGCTACTTATAATTTTTTTCCACCAAACTCTCAACCCCAAGTTTTGGAAACACTGTGTTAAACCATTCAATTTTCACACATTGCTTAATATATGTTACAAAGCAACTAAAGCTACACCCCATATATAACAAGTGTTTGAAGAACATCACGCACGTCTGTGTTTCCAGCATGTTTACATTCTATTTATTAGCTTTACTGGTTATTTGCTTATAACAAAGCTAAAGGAGAATATTTTGTCTGATGTTTCAACTTAACGCTTTTATCTATACACTTGTCCTGAGCAATAAATGCTTAAAAACGGAGCAAAAACGTTCAAACGCTTCTTTAAAACTTAGCTTATCAGTTTGGCCTATATTTAAAGTTTAGATAAGCCAGTCACTTCAACTTAAATCATATTTTTAACGCTTCAATTCAGATATACATTTGCTCTGTTAACGTTAGAGATTTATCGCTCATAAAACGATAACGATTTCGCTGAACTCTAAAACAACGTATTTTACTTTGTTGAGGTTTTCATCACTAAATTACAGTGAATTAAAAAGTTAATTCAGAGTAATGAGCTGAAAAGAAAGACAGATTAAACTTTTTTAACTCTCTCATACATGTGAACTGACTGAAGAAAATTTTAACACGTTTTGCACACAACAATGTGTTCAAGAATTAACTGTTAACAGTAATGCTGCCTGGATAACCACAACAAAAGAAAAAATTAAGAACAAAAACATTAAAAACACCATAACAACTTTTTACTGACACATCACATATAAGTAAGTTCAAAACGCAAAAAGTTAAAACAATTATGTTAAAACCAAATGGTTAAAGCCTTCCAAGTGACAGGTTTCTAACCGTTTGATTTTAGTGAAATTACTTGAATTAACTTTTTTGTGTTTTATACTTGATTTTCTTTTGTGTGTCAGCAAAAAGGTTGTTAATGTTCACCCACAATATTTAAACAAGATTTCCCGTATAAATAAAATATATTTATCTATATAACAGTATCTTCTGAAATCTATTTTAAAACGTTATCCTTCTCGTGCTTTTGTTTGAAATCTAGTTTACTGGTTTGAATTTTAGCGATAAAAATCTTAAGCTTTTCTACCTCTGTTAAAAACATTGAGTTCGCCCGTAAATGTATTAACTTGTTATCGTCTGTACAGATGTATAAAAATGGTTCCTTAAGTGACTTTTCTACTTTATTTGTTACATTTAAGTACTCTAAAATCCTCTAGGCGGTGAGTATTCACGTGGAAAAAATATAATAGTTATATTTTACAGTACAACAAATCAATGACTACAAAACTGGCTACAAAACAACGAACTTTAGTCACATCTGGTATAATGGTTCATGGTGATCAGGTTATTCATCAATTAAAAAATGGATAAACTACACAACGTGCTATTTGTGATCTGCCCATCGTGTGTATCGAAACCCAATTTTTTTATTGCTATAAATTCTCAGGCTCACCGCAGAGCTACTGGAGGTAAAAAAAAAAGGGTAAACCTACATATTTCATGTATATTCATAAGAAATTCTGAAGTTTGAAAGAACTGACCCCTGTTGGGTCGGCCGGAAGTTTGTGGACTTACAACACTAAAATCCAGAGTTCGTTTACCGGCATTGAACAGAGTTCAGATAACCCTTTGTGTAGCTTTGCGCTAAAAAAAAAACTTCAACAACAATTAAAAGAGTTTGTGTATAACTGATCAATTTATTCACAAAGATGGCAACCACGCATACGTAGCTCCTGATTTGGGTCTGCCAAGTGCTGGAAGATCCAAATCAATTACCTTCCCGATTAGTGAACTGCAAGAAGATTGTTTAATCATTTAAATATAAGCCTAAACTCGAAATGGAGATTCGAGAATTGAAACTGTATTTTTTATACCACGTGACCAAGAGCCAGGATACCCTGGAAATTAAATAAGGTCAAGTAATCTGACGCCTTCTTGGGGTTTATCCCCATCCACGTCTACCAGCTTGTACTCCGTAGCTTTGACGTTGATGTGTTTTTCCTTATCACTCTTGAGCTTCTGCTTCTGTCAGAGATCTAGAATATACAGAAAACGAACAGTAAAAGAACAATCCCCGTATGATTCCATACAGAAGTTGGAACAGTCGACGCAAAAGAACATCGTCACAGTTATTACATTTGTTCTTAGTTTTCAATCTAATATGTGAATACATACGAATACATGCAAGTAAATGGAATGTAGTGTACAATAAAAATATTCAACATTTGCAGACAAATATCATAGAGGGAGTGACGTCGACTCATTGCTGAGACCCTCATTTGGGACTACATTAGGTAATAATATCTTTTACGTACAGTTTTTTCCAGTGGAAAGTTAGAACTTATAGAATCAAGAAATTTGTAAACAGACCAAAACCAATAAATGTATTTTTTTCAAGCGTTTCAAAACATTTTCATGGACAAAACGTGTGTTACATGCTCTGCTAAGTGATAAATAATAGAATCAACTGCTTTCCCAGAGAAAGTTAGCAAAATATACTGCTCTCCCAGTAGGAACTAATGGAATACACTACACTCTCTCTCTCACACACACACACTAAGAATTGACTGCATTAAAAAAAGACTCTCTATAAATTTCTCTGTACATTCTTGCAGTACATATCTTTACATAAAGATAAATAAGTACACACACGTATTCATACGTTAATCTTCTCCTTACTATTGATAGGATTTTTGGCGTATAACGTTGTGCAATAATTAATATAAATAAGCTTCTGTAATGAGTGGTTTCCTAGCACCATTTGGGCGAGTAATGTTAAGCAACAATGAGCAAGCTGGAATATAAAATTAAAAAGTTATTGATCACCTTCTGAGTGAGTAAAGTTGCCGTTATTAATATTTTTTTAATTTCTCGCAAAACTACTCGAGGACTCTCTGCGTTAAGCCTAATTTAGAAGTGATGGAATGCAGCTAGTCAACATCACCCACTACTAACTTTTGGGCTACTGTAATCAAACAGTGGATTGACTATCACATTATAACCCTCCCAAGACTGAAAGGGCAAGCATGTTCGGTGATGGGATTCGAACCCGAGATGCGCAGATTGGAGTCGAGCGACTCAACTTGTGGTGAAAGAAATATTGGTTACTCTTTCGTCAACTAAAATTTTACTCTGTGAGGTAATAGTTAACGGTAACCCTTTTTGCAGGTAAGTTAAATAGCAATTAACAAATAAATGTTGTAAGGAACCGTCCATCAGGGACATTTATTGTTGAAAGTTCAAGGGGAGGTGGGAAGGTGGGGTCATATCAGCGTGACAGCTGCGGACAAGGATTGTTGGTGAAGGAAGTTTGATTGACAACATCCCCCTTTGTATTCTCATGTTACTTTTGGTTTTACATAAATAATACTTCGTAATGCTTTTTTGGACTGAGTACCTTAGTTAATATCATAGGGAAATGAGTCCTATACATGAAAAAAAAAGGAATAGTCGGCATTACTTTTTCAACAGGAAGAAAGGCCCCACATAGTGACATCATTTTATAGGAAGCAAGAGAGTTGTCAGGTAAATTAACAGGGGTGTGTGCAAAACAAGTTTTTAAAGTGTGACATACCTCTCCTCATCCCCCGTTGACTCAATGGAAAGCTTATGAGCTTAAAATTCAGGTTTCAATTCCCTCTGTGAACGCAGCTTGGACAGTCCATTGCATAGATTTACAAACAAAATCATGACATATAAATGGACAACTTCTAATGATACTGTCTTTAGTAAACGACTTAACCTAAAGAAAAAGATCAAATAACGAAGAACTACTAACTATTGGCACTTCATAGTTAAATCTGGAATATCTTATATAGAATACTCAAAAATATGTATGAGGCTCAACCTATCATTCGCTTTAACACTTGTCACTGTGTTATTCAAGTTTCGGGGATTTCCTTTCGCATCTCATTATCAACTTCTAACAGTGGTGGAGTGTATGTTATGTGTATG